AAATAAAAAATCAAATTTAATCTTTTCACTGAAAAATTCGAGCTTGTAAAATAAATAAATAGAAAATCATTTTAAAATTTACAGAAATCAATAACTATAATCCCTACGTGGAAAAAAGAGATGTGGTACACCTAACAAAAAATATTTGTAAGCAAATAGCTGTATCATTCTTTGTATAATAGTTATGTGTATGGTTGATTTGACTTACTTTGGTGTGTCAACTACATCAATGAAGTTGCGCATTGCGATCTGGTTGTGGCAACCAGAAATTAGTAAGGGGATCATTTTGCACAGACAAGTTAAATATCGATATTGTTGCATTAATTAATGCTATATTGCAAAGCAGCGATGTTAGAAAACAAAAGCAATTCACTACGCGCACAGCTAGAGATGTATACATGTGAAAACTGATTCTGAATGTATAAATATACATTTGTAGTTACCGCGTAATGAGCCGTGTTTGTATTAACCATATATTATTACTGCTGCAACATAAGTAACTCAGCCATTGCTCTTTGGTTACAGCAACCACATAAATAGTTGTTCCGTTTTACGGAACTATTTACTTTTATTTTTTATTTTAACGAAAGCTAATGAAATTCAGAACAACTTTAATCAGATTTTTATTTTTTGCTTCCCTCTTACCGAGTCCGACATAAAGAAGTTATATATAGATTCAGAGAAACGGTAGATATAACTTATTTTATATCTCACTCACACACACACACGCACACACATTTAATTTAACATCAGGCACAGATATTGATACTGAAGTAAATTCTTATGGCACATTTATATCTTGGCAAAAAAGTAAAAAGCAGAAGCCATTCAGAACTTGTGCTAGTGATCAGGTGATAGTCGACTAGTTTCTGTTTTTTTGCCAAGGTATGAATGGAACTATTTTATTTTACTATTGAATCTAGTTGGCACAACCAGATTTTTGTATGGATCAACCATATTGTTTTTTCCATATAATGAATAAAAACGTATTAATACAAATTTCGAATCATTTTTGTCGAAGCCAATATGATTATCGTTAAAATATGATTCTTTTGCGGAACAAAATTGAGGTGGATGTTCATATCTCCCCGCAAAATCTAATTTTTTTTTGTCAAGATATTGTAAGTATTTTGGTATAAAATATTTAGTACCATTAGTACTTAATAGATATACATAACAAAAAATTCAGGCTCTCAGTAATTTACAACCTTTTACAACTTCCCAAATTTTACTTTTTTTTTCCCGTAATTTTTTCTCAACTTTTACCTTTATTTTTACCAATACTCCTGTCAGGATCCAATAACCCCTCGAGCTACTATTGAAACATCAGTTCTAAACCGTTCTGCAAACGACTATACCACTGATGCATCACTGTCGATCCTGGAGCTTGAATGGACCAACAAAGCCATAGGAAGCGGGCGGACGGAGGGCGCGAAAGTGAAATATCACGGGACTGCAAACAAATATATTACATATATTCCCACACGCAGCGAGACGTTCTTATTTACGTCGGCGCAACGAGTTTACATTAACTACCTAATTTAGAATTTAATTGCGTGCCGGTGACGCTAACGTCCGCTCTACAATCGTTTTCTACATATTTTACCTCTTTCGTTAATTAAGTCTGCATGCGCGCGCGCACACGCACGCACGCACGCACGCACGCACGCACGCACGCATTCACGGGCGAGTAAAGCGAATCTGGAATGTGGATTTCGCCACGCTGACTGTTATAACATCGCGACGGGCAAGGAGAATAATTTACTTTTTCAACAGCTTCGTGTGTCGCATCCGGGCTAATTATACTGCCTTTTCACAGAACTTCGCAGCTTGTAAACACGCGAGCTGGAGGGCGCCCGTCGGCTAATTTAGAACGAATCGCGCCGGAGTGACGGGACGATCGCTCGTTCGCGCGAACATTTGGACGAGCGGATTTTTAGTGTCGTCTCCGCCGCTCACGGAACACCAGCGGAACGGAGCACGCTGCTCGTGGAGGAACGATCGACGTGCCGGCCCGCGGAACATTGCGCCGCTATTCGTTCTATGCGTCTTAGCGATCGGGATTGAACAGCGCGGCTTAAAAGGATCGAGCGGAAATCGTTGCAAAAACGCGAATTAAACTTAAAGCAGAGATAGCAGACGAGGCGTGTAGATCGCGCACATATACACGTTCATAGAAGTGCAGTCTGAGAATCGGTTCTTCGAACGTTCCAAGTTCTCTTTTCTCGTAGCGGTGACTCGGTGGCGAATCTCGTTAACGCGAAAGTTTGTGTCTATGAGTCGGTTATAACATCAAGAACGCCTCGTTTGATACTTGAAACGCGATATTCCGCAGACTTCACCAGCAACACATACACAGAAAAAGAAGCCTGGTTGTATTAAAGGGTTACAGAAGTAAAAATTAGGTAAAAATTTTGGGTAGTTGTAAAATGAGAGTTGTAAATTAATGAAAATATGAAGTTTTTGTTATGTATGTTTATTAAGTATATTTAAAAATATCTAAATATTTTTTAAGCAATTAAATTTTACGATGAATGTCAACATTTGTCTTAATTATTAGACTTGGTTTCCGGGTTTGAGCCGTGTGAATTCTTCTTTGTCTGATTCCGACGTTTCGCGAATATTTCAGTTCGCTTCATCAGGGAAAAATAACCCATTTCATGTCAATTCTGTTCTGCAAAAGAATCATGCTTCAACGGTAAACATCCTGCCTTCAAGAAGCGATCTGAAATCAGTATCAATGCATTTTTTATTCATTAAGTTATCATTAGATTATAGTTATCGGTTCACGGAGTGGATTTTTAAAAGAAATAATATTTTACAAAATGGGAGTTATAAAAAATCGAACTTAATTTTTCACTAAAAAATTCGAGTTTGGAAAATAAATAGGTAGTGAAAATAAGAAGATAATTTTGTGAAATTTGTGGAAAACCTCCGTGAATCGATACAGACAATTACGATAAACATTTGTGTGAAACACTGAGTTAATTAAATAAACAGTTCTCAAATTATCATAATTAAAACAGTAAAAAATTGCTATTTCGAAAATAACGCGTTTAAAATTTTTTAATGAATCGTTTTTTAACTTCTTTTATACTAAGATATTAAATGTATTAATAGGCGTATATAGCAAAAAGATTTATTCTACTATTAATTTACAATCTTTTACAATTTCCAGATTTTACCTAATTCTTACTCAGGATTCTCTGTAATCTTTTAATATTAGAGTGTTGGGCACTAATCGATTAAAATTTTCATAGACAATAAGGGACAAAGATAATATGATTAGCTCGCACATCAATCTGGTTATATCAACCAGATTAGTAGTAAAATAGAGTAATAAAAATTGTGTAATTGCTACAATAACAGAGCAATTGCTGAGTTTTATCTAGCGACATCGTTCTCCCTCTCTCTCTCTCTCTCTCTCTCTCTCTCTCTCTCTCTCTTTCTCTCTGTCTCTCTTTCTCTCTTTCTCTCTGTCTCTCTTTCTCTCTGTCTCTCCTTCTCTCTGTCTCTCCTCTTAATTCAATCACGTTTTTTTATACGTTTTTTTACGTAGCAAGAAATCGTTAAGGCGACCAGGTACACGTATATCGCGTATAATAAAGCGACGGTATCCCGTCGGGTTTAGCGGTACGAGCGAGAGAAATCCGACGAACACGGGCAGGTGCCGTGCGCGTCGATCGATCCCGCGTGTCCCGCTTAAGTGGAGGACGTCGTTTTGGTGAAACCACATGGAGGGTGATCAGACCCAGCGGACGCTAACGGAAGGAAAGTCCTTTACGGTACACGGCACGGTACATTACGCGCGGGAGCTACCAATGAGAAGATAAATCGTCCGCTTCTTTCGGCCGCGTACGAAATCATTTCTCCTCGAAGTGGAAATTCGCGACAGTTACGTCGACAACGAGTCTCCAGGTTTATTTATCGATTGGTGATCGGAGCGAGTGCCCGGGGCGCCGGCTAAACGCGACAGTCGCGCGACAAATATCCTTCACTTCTCGAGTTTCGAAATTCTCGCGCGAGAAACAAGGCCGCATGTCGTCGGCGGGGAAAGAAGCTGCGCAGAACGAGAGCTGCGCGGCGAAATTAATGAGAGGGGCTATGGACGGAAAGGGACAAATTACTTTTCTGGCAGACGTTCCATTTCACGCGCAATTTAACCGCGCGCGATCTCCGTAAGAGGCGTTTGCATGATTGCTTTGCTTGGGATATAGTTGAAAAGAAAACGATCAGCGCGCCGGATCGGGGATGCCGAGGGGATCAGACGAGCGCGCATCGCGCCCCCGCTTTTACCTAATCACTTTTGTGATGGCTCGATTAATCTTTCTCGCCCGTGGAAATCGGAGCGATTGCTCGATTCGAAGATGTTCGCGAGACTGCATAGCCTCCGCATCCGAGAAACGAGAAACTCTTTCAGGACGTCGTTCATCAATTTCCCGCGCGTAACTATTCATCGCAATCGTGATCGCGCGTCTCTCAATTAGCGGCATCCCAGAAATATCCCGGCGTTAAGCAGATGCCAAAGTGGACGACGGGTTCTGAAAATGTCGGTAACGTAGAGGCAGTTGCCAAAACATCATGATGCGCATCCAGATACGCACTAACATAATCGTGATGCTCTTCGCATTTCTTGTAGATGTAGATATTGTCTTAGCTCAATTTCACAATCTCTCGTGAGAGTGTAGAGCGGATTGAGATGAACATAAAAGTCCAAGTTCTCTAAGCTTCAAGTCGATGTATCATTTATTGAAACATTCCAAGTTTTACAAAATCTAATCGAAAAGGGACGAAATTTGACACTTTTCGTATATTTTTAAACTTCTAAATTTAGTTGTGAAGGTACAGCAATTTTCATTGAATTTTGTCATTCACTGAATGTCACAGACATTGAGTTTTTCTTGAGCAAAGTAAACAACTCGCATTCGGTATGTAGGAGCTGCAGAATGTTTGTATCAGGCAAACATTTGCGCCAACTGACAGCTCGAGATGTCAATTTAGAAATTTTTTATCGTTCACGTCACATATTGAGCAATACTCTAATTCATTATTATATGTACTTTTACTACGTAAGAACATCGATAATTTTGTGCAACTAATACGACGTAAACTTCGCTGAAAAGAGTCAGTATTTTTGTCAGTGAAGTTTCCAACTATGGCATTCCCTTAATGACGACCATCGAACGAAGGGGTGGGAAAGTACCAACGTCCAAGTATATCTATCTGATTTTCGCTCGTTCTTTCGTTACACGCAAGCGGGGGCAGCCATGAGCGCTAATTATCGCGTGGCCGACTCTGCAAAGGTGGGCGCGATCACGAGATTAGTCGAACTCCTCGCCACGATAGGGTCGTTTCTTCTGATAATGATTACACTGCCGTTCTCCCTCTGCTGTTTGTTCAAAGTCGTCCAAGAGTACGAGAGGGCCGTCGTTTTCCGGATGGGTCGCTTGAAAGGCGGATCTCACGGCCCAGGTAAATTCGCGAACGTCAATTCGCGTGTTCATCGGAAAAAATAAGTTTTCATTTTTGCAGGATATTTGCTCACACATAAACTCAAAAACTTTCTTCTGAAACCAAAAGAAAAATATTCTTAAAGTTAAAGGAATTTCGTCTTTCATCTGCACTACAAATCTTGTTCTTAATATAAATCTTCTGATAGCATTCCTGCTTCAAGTATGATCCTTCTGATTCAAAAGAAAAAAGTTAGAATAACACGCCCGGTGAATTTCTGATTGTAATAGTTTACTTCGATAAAAGAGCAATACTCTTTCGGAATTCTTGCTTAGAATATGGAATTACAGAAAATAGTGCCTTGCAACTAGAGTTTTTTCTTCCAATGTTAAAATATTTTCCTTTTAGTTTTAAAGGAATCTTCTTGAGATTATATATACAAAAAAAGAGAATATATCCGCCGTGAATAAAATTATATTTTTTGAATATTTTCACGTCTCTCAACGCCTTGCGCGAGCTAGCCTTTTTTTTTCTCAAAACCAACAGTGTTATTAATTAGGAGAACGTAATCTTGATTCCTCCAATGTTAGGCATTAGTCGATTAAAAGTCTCTTTGTCTAGAATAATCGACAAATCATAATTAATCAAAATTAATCGATCGTCATATATATA